GGGCCTGGTTGAGTGGCTGGGCAGCTGGATGTAGTATTCCCCATGATGAGACTGGTAATCAACTCCATGGTGGAATCCACTGGGAGCAGCTGAGTAGCTGTCTTAGGGATGTGGTCTGCTTCCTGTATATAAGTAGAAGCCTTGGGGAATGGTCTCTAGTTTATGGCACACTTGAACTATGTATGTAGCTGTGTTGCCATTCAGCAGCCTGCCATGTTCTGCTGATCCTGGGACTTTCAATGGACTTGAATCAGTGGCCTGCCATGTGGTTTGGTAACACAAGGACTGTGCCTTTTTACTTCTCATCCTTGGGCTTGTCAGTCTCAGCAGCCAACAGCTGTCTGAGTGAAGAAAAGCCTCTAGCTTCAGTGGCCAGGAGCAGGAGGCAGAGCTGAAGCCCAAGGTTGAGGGCTTTCACTTAGCCCCTTGAGCCTGGCACTCTGAACTCGGACTTAAAGCCTCCAAACTGTAAGAGAATAAACTCCTGTTTGTTCAACCATCCCATGTATGGTATATTCCTGTCAGAGCAGCGCTAGGGTACCAGAACACTGAGTGAGCTGGAAAGAGGACCCCAAGCTCCAATGAGAACCCCAGGACAGCCCTCACCTTGATTGTGGCTTTTTGACACCCAAGGGGAGAGCCCAGCTTCTCTGTGCCTGGACCTGTGACCCACAGAGACTGGGAGACACCAAATCTCTGCTGTTTTAAGCCTCTGAGTCTGCATTTTTGTTCCACATCAGTCAGACATGCACACACCCCTGTAGCATCCTCTGCTCCGTGAGCAGCTCCCTCCACTCATCTCCTGAAGCAGCACATGGGAGCACCCCAGGTCCCATCCCTCATTCACGTCCTGCCACAGCTGACCTGCCACAACTGATCAGTGCTGAGCCCTGTAAAGCCGAATTTCTCAGTATGTATTTGGTCCCTCAATCCATCTCCAATGCCATACATTAGCTCAGATTGTCCCCAATCCCTACCTACTGTCATGGATTGGATTGTGTCCCCC